ACCAGGGCTACATCGTGCACGTGCGAGCAAAACCATTTTGCACTCGTGGGATTAAAATTTGACTTGTACCAGGGCTACATCGTGCACGTGCGAGCGAAACATATATAATTTTTAATCCCACGAGTCATTACACGCAAAAAGATGGCCGCTAATCCACGGTTATAACCGTACATTGGCTGGCCAAGCCTATACGATAAAAATTCCTTGAGCTGATTTTTTAATTTTGGGACCGAGGATGGAATATGATTTTTCGAATCGATGCGCACCCCTCTAAATTTATGACCCCTGCGTACGGTACCGTACAATATATTAAAGTATGTATTGTACTGGAACTTACGGTAGTACCGTACGTACAAGCACGAAGCAGCAGGAAACGTAGTACGGATTGTACTACGGTACAATGTACGAGGACAAACGCAACGTCCGTTGCCTGCCGCAGTGGTATTTAGCCATGACTCTTACTATGCTAGTAGTACTTGTACTTGGTACCGTACGTACCACAAAGTCCCTTGTGCATTCACGTTAGGTACGAGTACTAGAACGCTGCGTTGATGGCACTATTCGTATCACCCCATCGAACAGCAAGAGCAGAAAACAGAACACCCGAAGACTCACCAACAGAACTTCGGCACCCATCTGCTGGCAAACAACTTCGAACTCGGCAACAGTTAGAGTATCACGAATCGATTCATCGAGCAACAAGAACAGCCCAACCGCGTGCACCAGTCCTACAGTTGACATACGCATACCGCAGGAGCAAACCAGAAAGACACACAAACACAACACAACAGACACAAACACAACAGACACAACTCACAGACCATGGGCCAGGCAATCTCCATGGCCGCGGTCTACTGCTGCTGCACTGCCGGATCCTCGCTGTGCCAGTCCTGCTTCGGAAGCGTGGAGGCCGGAACCACCGGGCGCAAGCGGTCCGTCCTGCTCCTGGCCATTGTGATTGCCCTCTCGCTCTGGTTCCAGTACGACGTCGGCCCCTCGATCGTCCGAGACGATCGAGACGGCTGGGTCGTGTGGACCCTGAAGTGGATCCCCGGCCTCGGGGGCCGCGTGAGGAGGGCCTGGATGGACCCCTGCCTTTCCAGCAGGGACTACGAGCCCTCCGAGGAGGAGCTCGGAGAATGCGCCGGAAACGCCGGGGTCTACCGGCCGACGGGCCTCGCGACGCTCTACTTTTGCGCCAACGCGGCGGCCACAAAGATGGTCCCGACCCTCAACCGCGAGGCCTGGCCGGCCAAGTACACCCTCTTTGCCTTCGCGCTCCTGCTGACGGTCTTTGTCCCGAGCGATCCCCTCTTTTCCTCGGTCTACCTCTGGATTGCCCGCCTGGGGGCGGCGGTCTTTCTCATCGTCCAGCAGGTCATCCTCATCGACGTGGCCTACAACTGGAACGACGACTGGGTCGAAAAGGCCAACCAAAACGACCGCCTGAGCTTTGGGAGCGGCAGCGGCTGGCTCCACGCGATCGTCGGAGTCTGCGTGGCCCTCTACGGGGCCTGCCTCTCCTGGATCGCCCTCCTGTACGCCCACTACACCGGGGACGGCACCGGAAGCTGCGCCGGGAACACCTGGGCGATCACCCTCACCCTCCTGGGCATCACCGGCGTGACGGCCCTCCAGCTCTCCTCGGAGGGCGGCTCCCTCCTGACGAGCGGGGTCATTTCCCTCTACGCGGTCTACCTGTGCTTTTCGATCGTCAGCCACAACCCGGTGGGCCGGTGCAACCCCCGGCTGGGAGAGAACGACGTCTGGGGCATCACCATCGGCCTGGTCCTGACGACCGTCTCGCTGGCCTGGACCGGCTGGTCCTGGTCGGCCGAGCCCCGCCTAAGGAACGCCGAGAGCCTGCAATCGGCCCGGGCGGTGGACGCCCCTACCGCTTTCTCCCCCTTTGGCGAAGACGGACACGACCACGAAAGCACCACCGGCGGTGGCTCCCTCGACCTCGGGGTCCCCCTGGTCGACGGGGAGGAAGCCGCCACGGCCGGGAGGGTGACGACGGACGGATCCGCGGGCGCGGCGCGGCGGGAGTCCGCTTCGCTGGCCCACGTCTGGAAGCTCAACGCCGTCCTGGCCCTGGTGGCCTGCTACGTCGCCATGGTCCTGACGGGCTGGGGGACCATCTCCTCCGAGGTCGACCCCGTTCGGCACACGGCCGCGAACCCCACCGTCGGAAGGGCCAACATGGCCATCCTCGGGGTCTCGCAGTGGCTGGCCCTCCTCCTGTACGCCTGGACGCTGGTGGCCCCCCTCCTGTTCCCGGACCGGGACTTCTCGTAGCTGGCGCGGAACGAAAGGAAACGAAGCGAAACAAGACAAGACAGAAAAAAACAAAACAAACGAAGCGAAACGAAACGAAGCGAAACGAAACGAAACGAAACACACCATCGGAGGCCCCGCGGTCCGAGCGAAACGACCACGAACAACAGCGAAGAGCAACCGTGTCGCAGCATTCGGAAGCCAGCCCACGAGGCAAAGAACCGAAGCGAAGCGAACCCGAACAGAAAGAGTTACTGTAACGAATATGGAAATAACGCCCATCGAACCGCACACTGCGTCGCCATAAAATAAACTATATTGAACGACTAGCGCTAGCCCCTTCGAGCACCGACCCACTCTAGCGGTACGGTGGTCGGAGTAAGACCTAGTTTTTGGCAGGATTCATCTTAACACACAAATGAGTGTATTGGTCATACCGGGCATTGAGGTTTCTTTGAAATCATTATTATTTACACCTACCGTAGAAAGCCTAAACAATTCAGTAGTACCAGTAGTAGTACAACGACTGAGCTCCATTCAAGAAATCACCTCCTGCACAAAAAGACTTCCAGATTGACCTACCAGGGGGCATATGAGTCAATAAAGTCCACCCATTACCTAGTGAGATGTGAGGGTAGTACAGATGTGTTACATAGTAATTTACTGGTACCACTACTACTATGTGACATACTAAACATTATCCAACAAAGTTAAGTTCCCATTCTCCTGTTGGATTTTGAGTGTTACTGTCAGAAGGTATGAGGTTTTAGAGCAACAGCATAAAAAGCCACAAACTTGACTTCGTGGCTTCAACCTATGTTTTTGATGGAGTGGCTACTAGTTGTACTAGTACTACTACAGATGCTCCCAATCTGGAGAGTTTGCTGACAGTGGCTTCACTACTACTAGTGGTGTTGATGGAAGCCCAGATGTTCATGCAGTGATACAGACAAGCAATGTTCGCTTTCTTGGCAACCCAAGCTTTTCATGGATATACTTCTTGAGTGTACTACAGAGATGTAAAAACGAGGAAGCACATCTGAGGATTTCTTTGATTCACTACTCCTAGGTTATCCATTGGACCAGGGTTGTGATGACAATATCTGGAGATTGACAAGCCAGTCTTTGGTCTTTGGCAGATCACAACCCATCACCACCAGTGAATTCTTGAAGAGGAGGGGGAGGAATGATGAGGCAATCAAGAACCTGGATGATACAAGGAACTTAATGGTGAGAAAACTTAAAGAGGCAAATTTGCTTTTTGTCCAAGCAGAGGAATGTCATCTCTTAGAAGTATTATGAGATTGCTCTCAAACCCTCACATAATGCCACTCAAAATCCAACAGGTGAATGAGAGTTGAAACAGCAATACTAATTTTACTCCTTTTCCTACTAGTACCAATACATATTGTAATATCACTTGACCAAAATCATCCTTAATGTATATCATGGCACTAGTTGTAGTAGTAATGATACTCCTGCTACTAGCACTACTGCTACTATTGAAGTTTAATCAGCCCCATGATTGGATTTCATGCTCTAGTGTCTGGGTGTACATCTATTTGGCCAGATTCCATCTTGTCTAGTTTTTGGTGGGGATCTTGAGTGTGTTTTCTAGCTTGGTAGTTTCTGTGCTAGGAAATGTCTGAGCTTGTTCTGACATCCGAGCTCATAAATGTTGGAGTAGGCGGTCCAAATGAATCGATGTTTTGTGGGAATTACTGCTTGAATGGTGCAATGGATGAAAACAAAGTGTAAAAAGTCGGAGTGACTCATCATCTCTTAAGAAAATACTTGTGTATCAAAAATGGTTAGACACTGTCACAACCTAGCATTGTGACCTGTATCATTGCACAGAATCTGCTTCACAACCTGCCATGATTTTGGTTGGAGAAAACGTGACCAATGTGACATAAATGCCAGCAGTGGGGCATGTGAAAAACAATGGGAAAAAAAAAGGGGGGGGAATCTAAGAAAACATATGCTATGGGATGTGATAGGTTGCGATCACTTTTTGTGAGGATTACTAGTACCACAAGGCACTCCTCTGTGCTTGAAATAAAATTCTAGATCCCCACAGCAAGCACACTGGCTTTGAAGATGGACTTTGAAGGATTGCTCTTGTACATAACAATGACTCCTTACATCTTCTTGCTTCAGGCTATCCATTGCTGTTTGATTTGTTTAAGCGTGTTTATTGCTTTCATACTGTTTCTTGCACCACAAAAATAGTGGACTCTACTAGTACTAGTACTACATTTAATTCTTTGAGAAACTTCTCAATATCATCTAGGTGTGGCTTGGCATCCTGGAATGCACTGATTGGGTCAATTGTTCCAGAGGAAACAATGGAGGAATCAAAGGAGTGGAAAGATTCAGAGCTCTCCTCCATTTGTTCTATGAGTTTGGAATCAATGCCATCAGCAGTTAATTGTCAGCTGCTAATCATATTTGCATCAGACTTGGGAGGAGGAGGAGGAGGAGGAGGAGGAGGAGGAGGAGGTAAAGGTAACTACAAAGGTGTCTCATTAGTTGAACTTGTTTTAGTCTTCTTCTTTTTCCAGTGCTCCTCCTCTTCCTGTACTGCTGCTGGTGGGGCTGGAGGTGACTGAGGATGCATCCAGGGAGTACTACTAGTAGGAGCAGGGGGAGACTTACCCATTGTGATACCTCCTCTCTTAGTGCTAATACGAGACTGGAAAGCAGCTGGTTTTTTATCCTCGTTCTCTTTTTCCTTGAATATGATTTGAAGGAACATTGCATCAGCTCTCTGTCCCCCCTCCACTTGAATTGGGGCAACTAGAACTTCAGCAACATAGACAGAGGAATCCATCCTCTTCTGGAACTTGAGATTCCCCTCAGACCAGATGCATCCATCATGGTCCTTGAGTTCCATCACTGCTTCAATTCCCATGCTAGTCCACAGGGCATGTTTGCTATGAAAGGTTGTACAAGTAGATCCATCTTTAGCTTTTGTTATATATAAATCAATCTGGTGTGTCATGGACTGTCTCATAAAAGCAGGCCACTTCTTGCATTGAAGCAACCTGAAAGGTATATTCCTCCTCATCAATCCATGCTTTGAAGGACATAATAGTCTGATTTCCTTGCTCAAGTGTGAGTGAGCAGTCTCACCAAGCAATAGTTCACCATATCATAAGTATGATGGTCAAAGGTTGTCCATCTTCTGGAAAGAGCTGGATGATCTTATCAGATTGCTACCATCAATGCTACCAGATTGCTACCACAGACGCTTCCATAATATATGCTGTACTACCCGGGATGTTCAGAAACAGCGAATTTCCACATACACTTCTTAGCTACTAGATCCACCGCACGTTTGACCACTTCGACCATTGGTTGCATTGGGCACGTGTGTGTTTGTATGCAACAGCTGTATTATAAAATAGGGGGTCCCGGGAAACAATTTTCATTTAGGTCAAATTCTCAGGCTTTTTTCTGGTAGATTTATGGTAAAAACATTGTTGACTTATGGTAAATTCATTGTCAGTATAAGGTAGAAACATAGTTGATCGTTTGGGTTCGCCCACCTGGTTGAAGATCAGCAAAATTCAAGAATAACTCTCGAAAAGGAATCTTCCTCGGCAACCTACCTCAAACCACAAAGAACATTTTGTGGTATGATATAGAAACCGACTGTGTTGAAATTGCTTCTCACGCTCGTTTCGACGAAGGCATGAATGATCTCCCCATCAATGCTATTCCCCCGAATATCATCCACTTGCAACACTCTGAAAATGGATCACCAATACCACCCGATGACTCTGAAATTGAAGATATCAACCTGAACTTTCACATCTCCCCATTTCAAGACATCATGACAAAAGAAATCCAAGTCAAATGCAAAAGCCTGACCTTCGGTCTCCTAGGAATTAAACGGCCGAGTCTTTCTCAAAGATGTCACAAAGAAATCAAGTGCTGCATCAATGTTCTCCAATTGGAAAGCGATGCGAAATAAAGTTTGTGGTGCATACATCGTCTCCATCAATAATCAACCGGTCTTTGACAAACAGTCTGCTCTAAATGTTCTCGAATCCTTAGTGGCAAAAGGCACAACAGAATTCGAAATCAGATTTGCCCCTGTTGCAAAAGCATCCAGCGTTCGCAGATGGAAAGAAATTGACGAATATAATTTACATGCGCCGACAGATAAATTCAATACAACAGCACAAATAAATTATGCCGCTCTTCGAGCGATCACCGCAATACGAACAGGTACCCATATTCCTTCCAATATCATTTCTGATGAAATAATTCGACTGGTTATCAATGCCCTTACTTTGCAAACCACAACAAAAGAAGAAGAAGCGCTTGGTCACTTCACCCGTCGAAAACTAAAACAACTTGATAACTGGAATGAATGGCTACATGCGGAACGCAAACAATTGGATCAATTTCACGATCTCAAAATGTACGGAAAACCAACCCCTCGCCCTCCGAAATCGATCCTACTTCGACCTCACTGGCAATATCAAGTTCGCAAAACTGGTGAACGACGCTCTCGAAATTGCTGTGACGGATCAAAACAATCCGCTCCATTGCTACATGCAATAGCATCAACTTACTCCTCATGYGTTGAACARCCGGTGCAACGTTTATTCTTTGCCCTCACCGCCATCCTTAACTACAAACTATACGCTGGCGATGCTAAAGACGCATACGCTCATTCGCCACCTCCCGAGGTCCCTACCTTTGTTGCTATCGATGGCCAATATGCTGACTGGTATAAATGGAAATTTAATGAGGATCTCAACCCAACACACGTTCTCTCTGTACAACACGCCCTTCAAGGTCACCCTGAATCTGGTCATCTTTGGGAAGAACATATCAACAAAATTCTTTTATCCAAAGAATTACGATTCACAACGACGACGCATGACAAATGTATCTATCAAACAACATACAAAGACACAAAGATACTTATGCTACGTCAAGTCGATGACTTCCTTATCTCATCCCCGAATGCCACCCTCGCAAATGAAATCTACGACATTATCGGCAAGAAACTCCAACCTCCAAGAGAAAAGAATATCCCTTTCAAGAATTTAGGACTTGCCACATCATATAATGGAGTTGATATCAAACAAACTAAACACTACATTGAAATTTCTTGCGAAGACTATATCGACCKTGTTGCACGATCCCATGGATGGACGACACCTAAAGATGAATTACTCAGTCATCCAACTGCCCCTCTCCCCGAGAAGGCATTGGACAAAATCTTCGATGAAGACAGCCCCCCTGAAGGATTGTCAGAACACAAGAAACTCAAAGAACAACATGGGTTCCCCTACCGCACATTGCTTGGCAAAATCTTGTACKCCTACAATGTATGCTGACCCGATATTGGTTTTGCTGTTTCAACCATGTCCAAATTCTCGTTAGCACCTTCTGATTTACATTTTAAATACCTCAAAGGTGTCGCTTTATACTTACGACGAACCAAAACATGGGGACTACGATACCGCAAAACAAACATCCTTGAAGACGAYGAAATCCCTGATGGCACGTTTACCGACCCTCCGATTCCCTTGCCAGATAATCTTCCCCTGTTTCCGTCGTTTCCTACCGATGCGACCATTACATGTCTCGTCGATGCTGCATATGCAAACATAAAACCAAAACGAAAATCGACCACAGGTCTCGTTGTCATGTTAGCCAATGACGCCATTGTCTATAAATCCAAAACACAATCTCAAACCGCGCAAAGCTCCACCGAAGCGGAATTCTATGCTGCCGTTTCTGCCGCCAAAATTGTGTTATACCTCAGGTCTATCCTTGCTGACCTGGGCTTCCCACAGAAAAATCCAACTACGTTGTATGAAGACAACGACTCTACCATCAAAATCGTGAATTCAGGTGTCCCGACGGAACGCTCGSGACACATCGACATTCCCTATTTTGCAATTCAAGATTGGAAACGAGATCTCTACATCAAGATGCAGTTCATCAGTGGCAAAATCAACCCCGCTGATGCGCTTACAAAGCCTCTTGGATGGGTCCTTCACAATCGACACGTACGCCGACTCTTCGGCCATTTTACAATTCCACATTCACAATGATATCCTCCTCCTGTGAAAATCACTCGTGGATTGAGTTGAATCACTCATACGATACGAATGAATGAATCGTACGAGTATTACGATTAAGGTTAGAGTTAAACCATATCCCAAGATTGCTGCCTTATTGCGCACGTGATTTTTACACTCCCTCGTCATTTTTTGCTTTGATCTGCTCACTTTACACATCACAGATCACGGGAGGGTGTTGTCCGTAGGATATCAGACCGTGGGTATGATTCATACATACGACTCATACATACGATGAGTACCTATGATTCATACACACCATACATATATGACTCACGCGATCCCCTAGGATTCATATCATCAACGTGACTCATCTCATTCACTTTTTGAGTGACTTGACTCATTCGATTCGCATCTCACTCGATCCCCACAGCGATCCATTCTAGATTTCATAGTTCGTCGATCCTCCATAAGAGCATCAACTCACTTTTCTATTAGCACACACTTAACATCACTTTTAGGACAGTCACTCCCACATGTGGATATATCTTATATTTACCAATGCTGCGTTTTTTCCTTGTTGTCTTTCACTGCGGGTCTAATAAATTATACATGGGGGATCTGGGAAGGCTACCAAAAATTGACTACTATAAATCAGATATCAATATTTTAATCTGATTTGAATCTGATTTGTATTCCTTTTCTAGTCGATTTGTAGTCAAATTCTGGTAGCAAAAAAATTTGAATTTTGAATAAAAAGTTTCCCGTATCCCCCATCTCATAGTCAATACGCACAATGTTCTCATTGCAGCAACAATCTACTGTAGTCGAACTATTCGGAGATCTGGTAGCTAAGCTTACGTGGAAATTCACTCTTTCCGAACGTCCCAGAATAATTTTTGAAATTCTCTTGGCCCCCCAAAGTTTAGTACGAAGTACTAGTACTGTAGTTTACTGAGTTATCAGGTCTGATTCAAACGCTTCATTTCCTCTGTTAAGTACCGGTAGCACCGCAGGTGTAGTAGAGAACGAGGCTGTTTATGGAGGAGCTGCTGATACGGAGGAGGACGCTGATACGAGGCTGCTGATACGAGGCTGCTGATACGGAGGAGGCGCTAATTTTCACCACGATTTTTCAGTGTTGCTTAGATCTAGTCCAACAACTGTACGGTACGTCGAATAGTTTCCATCTATCCAGGACGGCTTTTGGGGTCGCGTTCTTTCGATAAAAACTTGTACTTACTACGCGTTTCGTAACAATTGAAATCGGCCTTGAAAGAGAGCAAAAAGTAATAATTTCGAGTTCTTAACTTCGATTTGAAGTTATGAACTTTTGCTCGTACATCATGTACCAGGTTCTACTGAGCTTGTTTTTAAAATGACTGAATGACCCAATCGATTCCCCTCAAAACAAAACAAAATGGTTCAAGGTGATTCAATTATGAATCCTGGCCTTTCAATTATGAATCCTGGCCTTTCAATCATTAATGCCATCTAAAAACTAGCTCAGTAGAACCTCGTAGACTTTCTACTGGGACATTTTGAAGTTCATAACTTCAAATGGAAGTTTAGAACTTGAAATTATTACTTTTTGCTCTCTTTCGAGGCCGGTTTCAATTGTTACGAAACGCGTAGTAAGTCCAACAATCAAGCCTATCATTCTGGGATAGCTTTTTGGTTCGTGTCCTTTCGATAGAAACTCGTACTTAAGAACCAACAATCAATCCGATCATTCTGGGATAGCT